TGCAATTCCGAGCAATCATGATATACCCGTTAATACCCCAACTTGTACCCCAGCTGGAAAAAGTAGAAAATAGTTTTACAAACTTTCTGAGTGTTGAAAAATTTCAATTTCAAGTAGTAATTTTGCTTTATTTGTATATTCCTACCTGTTTTTAACCAACCAATAATCTGTTCCGTTTTTAGTTGTTCCGTATCCAACTACCAATACACCGTGATCTAGATCCGTGGAGCTACACTTATTTGAGTAATAAACCCCACCGCTGTTATAAATAATCCAAGTGGAATTAATAAATACGAATAATATGATATAATAAATTATATATGTATATATAATAATTTTATAATAAATTAATACGAATGATATGCCGAGAGTGCTCATCCCAAAAATGACAATTAAAATACTCTGTTTAAAATTTTAAAATTATATGTATATATTATATACCTGTAACCAGCGAAAGAGCCTGCACTAGCATCTATAGCTACTGAAATTGGACCAATGGTTGCTACAGCTTGTTTCAAGGCTTCTTCGTCACCACTTTTAACATCCACGTAACCGGTACAAGTAGCGCCGATAGACGAACGCTTAAATCTGCATTTGTCGTTCTGAAGGAAATTAAAAGAAATTACACAGAATTCTCTCATTAGGAACTAAATATGTTCCTGAAATGTTCGTGTAAAAGTATTGAAAAATGCTAAAATGACTTTTGTCACCAATTATGTATGCTGATGCAATTATTTCATTATACACTTTACGAGTTAACCGAAATATATTTTATGCAATACCTTACTGCATTGTGTAAGAAACATATTAAAACACCAATTAAGCTGTGTATAATCTACGGAATTAAGCTGATTATAATCTACGGAATTTTTATTCTAATTTTACAATAAGTTTATTAATTTCTGATATATTCTAATATTTGCCATGATAAATGTTAATCACGTAATCCGTGTCATAATTGATGAATCATTTAGGTCTACTCTAATAACAAAATATATGTGAAGCGCGGATTTTTTCGGACTTGTACGGGCCGCCTAAACATCTAAATTTTCGGTTAATTAACTTCGGAAAAAACCCGAGGAATTTAAACTATATCGAATTTCACCGAGTTTGTAACAACGAACTGAGGAAGTTTACAGTTAAGTGTGAAGAATGTACCGTCATCGTCAATAAGAGGCGATGACGTGTCGGCTCTCGCACGAAAAGATATAAAAGGGGAGATCACCGGAAGCTCAGGGCGCGTCCGCACACGGAAGGTATTCTTAGTATTTGTGTTCGTCGATCTCCATGCCAAGGACTGTAATCCCGTCGGAGAAGACACCACACCCTTCCACAGAGACGACGTTCGCCAACTCTCCTTTCCACCTAGAGGTATTTAGGGATATAGATTTTATAAAAGCGCTCTCTCTCTGAACTAGAAATTAGGGCAGAGACCTAGCTAAGAACGTAATCGCCAATTTCTGTAAATACTTTAATATAATAGCATTTAGCTTTAGTATATTTGTAACTTAGTTTTATTAATTAATAAATGCTTGTTATTCTGTTGACCAGTCTCCTGTCAATAAACGGCACCTGCCAACTTGCCGACGCACTCCCCGCTCGATTTGCCCTCCTAGCCATCCGACGGCGCCGAGTTTTACCATCCTGTGCAGAGTAAGGGGTCATTGTGGGATTAACCCGTGGCCCGCTGTTTATCTCACATATATATCCCATTCTCATAAATTGTGCTAACTTTTAGTAAAGTTATCCGATAATATTATAATTATTTCGAAAACATTTAAAATCTCTCGAATAATTTGACAATTTCGTGTGTCATTTCACAAGTATTTTTTACATGTTGAAATCTTGAACTATTTGTTGCAAATTTTGCAATACTTCTCCAATCCTTTGCTTACATAAACAACAAGAGTTGCAAAATGAAATAAAGATTAAAAATGACAATTTATTAAACGTGTCAAATCGTGTAAAAACAAAAGTATCTGTAATAATATGAAAAAATAAGGTTAGTATAGCATAACTATAAAAAGATTCTCACCCTAGCTTCGTACGGATAAGAATCCTCGGTGTCGATGCCTTTATTTACTTTTACATATTCAAATGCATCATCCATCAGTCCTCCTTCGCAACCATTATTACCTTTATATTTATAATGTAAAACAATAATTAAAGATTATTCTCTTTTGTATTTTAGAATAAAATATCGTACGTGATGCTTTTATTTGAAAAATGTGTATTAAGTTATAATTAGAGTATAGCAAATCCCGAGGCTTAATACATTTTGCCTTCAGTATATTATTGTGAACATTATATTCGCTTTAAAATCACAATAAAACCATTGTAAGAATCCCTAACAATGACTAACACAAAATGGAGAATCCACGATAATATTATGAAATGAATATCAATCTATTAAATAATAATTTAACTTATTACTTTAAAAGGCTTTCGGAAATATTCTATGTCATTTATTTAAACGAAATATAATTAAAATTACCAACAACAAAATAACATTACCTTCCTTCCGAGAACAGTCTACCAAATTCTGTTCGCTCAAGGAAACCAGTTTACCAGTTTTCTTTTTGTGTTGCCCTTCTAAAGATCCGGTGGTCGAGAAAGCCCAACAAGAACCACACCGCCCCTAAAAGGTAAACGATTTAAAATTAGTTAAATTAATTCTATTATAGAAAATCTTTGAATAATACATTCTCCTATACTTGATTTTTGACTGGCGTGACGTATCCTTCTTCTCTCCAGTCAACTGTGTCAGGCAAAATTACATTAGAAAGGCGCGTGAAAGTATATAAGGGCTTAGAAGTGATATTCACTGGTCTTTTCAGTCCATTCATTTTGTGTACGAACTCTTCGTGGGTCTGAAAATAGAAAATTATTAGTTATTACTCACGCATTTTATAGTTTACATAAACACTTTTTAATCACAATTGTCGTATTTAGTACCATATCAGAAAATTGGTTGAGTCCTGTTGTAAACGTGTGCAATCCTAAATCGTATTCAATGTTATGTTTTGTAATTGCTGCCAACTTTTCTTCCCAAATCAGACGTCTGGCGAGTTCTTCGTTTTTCTCGTAAGTTTTGTTAAACTTTGCCTTGTAATCAATATTAATAAATATCGTTAATATTTTTTTAGAAGTAAGCAGTAAAATTGTTTCGCTTAATTAATGATCGAAATCGAAAACCTTAAATATTTCCCAATCTTTGTCGTAATCGGGATTAAAAGGAAGTGTTTTTGCCGTAATGGCGACGAGAAAACAAGTGAACACGATTGCTTTCATCTGCGAAGAGAAACTTAATCATTTTCTATTGAAGACAGAATTTAAGAAACATTCCTTTAAATTCATAAATGTATAAAAGCGTAATATGGTTTATATGGAAGAAAGAAAATCTTACCTCAGTGGATTAATTTTCCTGGATGGAGCTGCTGCTACTGACTCTGAACTCTTAAAATTTTCTGTTTTTCCATCGTCTTATATACACAAGAGTCAAACTCGTATCAGACTTTTTCATGTGATTCCAGATAAGACTTATCTAATCGTTCCAGAATCGTCGTCTACAACTATTTGCTGAAATTTCGCTAAAGTTTTATTTTAACTTAATACGGTTTGCTTTTGAAAGTTTTCCTACATGAATAATACGATATGTTTTCAGATTTATATTTATCCTTGATAAATGCTATTGGCAGGCGTGGCCAGAAAAAAATATTACGGTTGAATTGTGACTTGTGAACAAATAAATTATTAATTGAAAATAAATATTTACACCACTTTAGTCTTTGTTCAATCGACGTGTTTCTTTGTCACTGTTAATACAGAGATAATTTTATTAATTAGCAATTTAGAAATGTTTGAAACTATACAAAGAAGGAGACTTAATTTACGGAAAAACATTATATCAAGTAATGCCTAATAGTTCCTTCTAATTTATATTATATTTTCCATAGTTTCAGTAAGTTACGAATGTTATAAAATCAAAATAGTTGTTAATATTGCTGAATTGACATGTATACAAAGCAACGTTATATTAAACAAGAATATACTCTTTGTTCTTAGTACTTTGGTCGACCTGCTTTTGTTTAACTCGGACTCCGAGGAAAATATAGATTATCACGAAATCCAGACAACTTACTATCTGATTTGATACCCCTTATTAAGTCTTTGTCCGATCCGCACCAAATTTTTCACAGTCTGGGACATTGGGAAAAATATAGACTTTCACGAAATTTGATATCCTCGACACTTCGCGATAAGCATAACAACGGTAGGTTAAATTAACCAAATAAGTAATTTTATTTTCATTTCAACGTTTAGCCATTTTATCCGATTTTATTCTTGCATCAAAACAAACGCAAAAACTGAAGAGAAGAGGAAGAAGTAAGAATAAAAAAAGGGTAAAAGAAGGGGGAGAGAGACAGAAGTCAGTCGAAACACTTTGAGCGATTATCATAGGTCAGAGGTCTTGCGATGTTTTGACGGGGACTTTCTAAGACTCTTTTAACTGTGTCTGTTGTGATCTTCTAAGACAATTAAAACAAATTGTGCTTATTGAAAGAAATTCTAAGACTATTTTAATTGTGTCTTCTCAAGAACCAAACGATCTATTCAAGATTTACCAGAGAAAAAGAAATGAAATCTACCTGGAAGTGAGAAAATAAACTTCGTTTATGCAGTATACTTGGGTGTTATCGCTTCTATCAGATCCACGCGACATTCACCTTCAAAAAAAATGAGATGTATCCAAAAATTTCTCGTTCAGAGGTTCGAATAGGCCATCAGCTCGGGATTGCAGATGGACTATTCGAATAAATAACAGACAAATTTCCACACGATCAATAAGATTACTATGCATTAATTAATGCGTTCATTTTTCTGTAAATTATGTCAATTTGTATGTATTATTTTCAACATTTCTAGATTGCAGTTAATCACAGCTATTTTCTTTTTTGAAAAAGTAGCATTACAATACATTGATCAAGTAAATAATAAGGTATAAAGTCCTGTAAATACTGTATTTTCGTTTCAATTAATATATACTTAACTAAAAGTCACAATTCCTATTGTAATTCCTATTCATATCTTTGTTCGTCAACAGTAAATAAAAATATTGATTAAAATCGTGTTTTCCATTTATAACTGCATTTCAAAAACAAATTCTTTTAACAAAATGTAAATTTTAAAATCACATTAAGTACATAGTTTTGCATGAAAATTCCTAAATGATTAGATAAATTTTATCAGAAATCACCCGAGAAACGACTAACAGAATAACACAGCTCTCAACTGCAAATAAAACGGCAAATAATCCAAAATTATTATTTTGTTAAAATACATCCCTCGATAAAAACATCAATCTAATAACGTAAGTGTTGCTCGTACAGTACATAACTTTTTATTTTTGTGAAATTAAAGATAAGGAAATTATATTTCAGTTTATATACAATATACAATTAAAGAAATTATTCTTTACAGATGAAAGCAATCGCATTCGCCAGTCTTTTCGTCGTTACAATGGCAGGACAGCTTCCTTCCAATTCAGACTACGACAAGATTTAGGAAATATATAAAGTTTTCAAATATATTTATTAATTAATTAAAATGCCTCAATGTCCTTTTTTCTTACTAAAATATAAATTTTCGACTATAAATTCGTATCTTCTATTATCAGGACTTATTATACTGGCTTTACAGATAATGCTACAAAGTTTAACAGAAAACAATTTTTATTTTATTCCATATACAGGTATATGGAATAAAATAAAAATTGTTTTCCAAGGAGAACTGTTGGGAGTACATTTGCCCAATCGTCTCCTTCATGGCAACGTAGGGCTGCCTTAAGTGTGCGGTGGAGCCGTTCCACCATTCCATTCGCCGCTAGATGATACGGGGTTGTGCGGATCTGTTTGATGCCCAAAGTTGTCGATAAAGAGTGGAAAAGGTCGGACTCAAATTGGCGTCCTTGGTCCGAGGTCAATCTGAGCGGAACGCCAAAGAGGCATACCCAATTCGCGTAACAGTTGTACACAGTCTTGTATATGAGGTATGGGATAGTGGTCAGGAACTGTTACTGCGTTTAATCTCCTATAATCTCCGCAGGGCCTCCAGTCGCCGTTGCTTTTTCGCACTAGGTGTAACGGGCTAGCCCACTGGCTGCTGACGGTCTGCAAATTCCATGGGCCATCATATATTCGAACTCTTTCCTCGCTGCGTTCAATTTGTCGGGCGGAAGTCTGCGTGGCCTTCCTGCGACTGGCGGTCCCCAGGTTTGAATGAAGTGGACGACGCTATGTTTGAGTGGTTCTGCTGGTGTAGCTGGTGTGACGAACTCTGGAAACTCTGCGAGCAGACGGTGGAAGGAGAGTAGCGTAGCGTAGTGGGGCGGCACTTTTAGGGGGCGGCGAAATTTTACAATAAATAATTATAATATCTTGTAAACATTTGAACCATTTCATTTCATATTTTTGTCACACCTAGGATTCGGACATTGAAATAAGTACGGAATTTTTCATTACTTATTCTGTGGCGAAACTGAATTTTAGTCTTTTAAGGGGGTAGTGAAATTTTCCTCCGCCCCGGGCGGCTGACACCCACGCTACTCCACTGTGGAAGGAGGAGTTGTCTCCGACGAGTGATAGTATGACACCATCACGGCTTTTCCCACGCTCGCAAGTTTAGTTTGGGTATCCAGAAGCCTTTTGTGTCGAATATCGACAATCAGTCCAAAGTTCCTTAGTAAATCCGCCCCAATTATTAGGTTGGATACTGCTGCTATTACGAACGGCCATTGAAACGACCGGCGCAGACCCAATTCCAATCATAATAATCTCCGTCCGTACGTTTTGATCGTTGAGCCGTTTGCTGCGAAGAGTTGGAGTCGGTCTGGCTTTCTTTTTACTTTGGTCGGAGTTGGGGGAACTACAGAAATGTCCGCTCCTGTGTCTACCAGAAAACGCGTGGACGTGGCAGTGTCATGCAAGAAGAGCCTGTGTCCCCTAGATTGGCCGCCGCCCGTGTCGTCGAGCGACGGCCCGATCAGTTTCCCACCTGGAATTGGCAGGGGGACGTGCACTTGTTTGCTTTGTCTCCGAACTTCCGGTGGTACTAGCAGATCTGCCTTCCCTCTGATGTGCTTCTGTTTCGATGTGGGGACGAAAAACGGCGGCTGTGATGCCTACTACGTCGTAGGGTTTTGACTCAGTGATTTACTGGATCTGGAGGGACAATTGTGCTATCTGCTCCTTCAATTGGGCGATCGCGTCTACGTGGTTCTCGACGGGCGGCGGTGACACCGCCTGAATCTGGCCCATCGGTGCGGTGACTTCGCAGATTTTATCGGCCAATTCGGCAGCTCGCGCCAGATCTTCGTCGCTTACCGCTAGTATTTGCTGAGCGGCTGTTGGCAAGCGCTGGAGCCAAAGTGTCTTGAGCACGTCGTCTGAAATTCTATTTGTGGCTAAATCTCGCATCTTTCGTAGTAATTGTGACGGGCGTTGATCCCCTAGCTCGATGTCTTGGAGCAATAGTCGTAGCTGTTGTTGTTCTGAATCCGAAACTGGTCAATTAATCGGCGTTTGAGTGTGAGGTATTTATCTTTGTTTGGAGGTTGGACGACTATGTCGCTTACTTGGGCGAGGATTTCGCTCTCCATGGCCGCAATAACATGACTGAATTTCGTCTCGTCGGCTGTTATATTAGCGTTTGCGAATTGGGCGTCTATTTGGGCGAACCAAAGTGTCGGATTAGCCTTTCAGAACGGCGGGGTTCTTATAGCCACCCGGGCGATTTCTGGCAAGGAGGTCGCTATGCTTCCGTTATCGTCGTTTGACATGTGTTATCCGGTACGTGTGAAAAAGCGTAAAATTAAAAAAGAATTGTTACTTAATTGTTCTGAATGCTGGTGAATGTCTCTGTCACTATTAGTCTTCCGGACTTCGATGAGGAGCAGCCGATGTAAATGCGTCGGAACAAATGATCACGTTCGGGTCACCAATGTGGTGGTTGATGCACTACTTAACTTGAGTGCTCGTTGATTTTATAAAATAACCGAAGTTTTATATCTCACCATGAAAATTTATTTACAATCACGTACAAGATTTTGTTTTATACTTATTGAGTAAAGTTCGATCGGTTACAAGTATGCGTCGGTACAGAACATACACTTGTCACGAGTAGGGTAGCCGAGAGAGAAAAAGAATATGACGGATGGACTGCACATGTTTTTATAGTTCCATCTGGATTTTCAGATGCAGCGCTAGGTTACAATTATTCACCCATTGTGACTTACTGTATATGGCCAGGCCCGCCGTAAGCGGGCGGAACGTCCAGGGGGCGGCAAATCGAGCGATCGGTCACGTAATATTCAAAGTCATTGTCCCAATACCTATCCTACTTATAACATAAGAAATGTCTTCGCAAAGAGAAAAAAATCCGACCGGAGCGCAATTACAATATTCTTATTTAGCGTATATTATAGCGTTAACAGCGCCTCTATTGGCATTTATCAGAATTAAGATTCAATGCGAAACGTCTGTTGGCAGGTTGAACCATCCAGCGGCGCCCGAAAGTCAAGTACTCATAGTCGTGCTCTATTACAGAAGTTGACAGGACTAGA